TTTAAGACACTTATTTGATGTATTTGGCTAAGAAATCAAGTAAGACACTTTAAAAACCACTTCATTTGAGTGAAAACCACGGCTAGCCAAGTTTATGCCGTTTTGAATGATTTTTGTCAAACGACCAAAAGCGAAAGATGGTTTTCAAGGTGTTTTTGTTGGAGAACCGTTTAAACATGCCAAAGAGTGAAAACCAATCATAAAAAGTTGAAAACCACTTGGTTGGTTCGGACCCCAAAAACCATAGCCGATAACCGAGAGCCGAACGCCGGTTTCTGAAACCCGAACGCCGGATGACTTGGTTTTTGGTTTGGGCGAACACCAAGTGTTTTTGATGATTTAAACTTGTTTGAAAAACATTTTTATGATTTAAGAAATGCAATGAAGGGTTTTAGCCTAAAGAGCCAAGGTGTAAAGGTTGGGTCGGTCTTGATCACAATGAAGACCGACTCAACGACACTAAGACTAAGGTCTTCGTTCTTGGTCTTCTTTTAGCTCTTGTTCTTGTCTTCCTTCTTCGCCTTGTATATTCAAAGTTTGACTTGATCACGGCGGTTTGGCATTATCAAAACCTGTCACAAAAACAAACACGGCTTTAGTACGAAAACGTGACATGCCCGTGTTTCAACAAATGGCGTGTTGGAATATATAATAGTCAGCGTACAACCACAAGCTTAGAGAGGTAAATGTGACCTAAAGATTTTTCTGAAAGACTTATTTTGTGTTAAGAAATGAAAAGTGTGATTATTTGAGATAATTCTCCTATTTTATTTTTATTTTTAAATACTATTAAAATTTGAGAATATGTTTTTAAAGAATAAATATATGCTCATATCAAATATTGGTTTTAGTCTTATAAAAATATAACGACTCGCAAATTTTGTAGTGTTTTTTAGGAAAAAATAGCAATGAATTTTCAAAAAAAAACATTTGTAGTGCCGTCTTTGGAAAAATAGTACTAGTAATGTTATTTTGGAAAAAGAAATAGCTGATTACCAGCAAAGTTAGTTCGAAGTAGGGATGCTGTTTCTAAGAGACCCCCGGCTCCACCTGCACAAAAATATGGAAGGGAACACAATATAACACAAATAAAGCACCAAGTATAAGCAACAAGTACAAGCAATATCAGAAGATTCCAAACAAATACAACACATCACAAAATTAAACAACCTCTACAACACCAAGCTCCTACCCAGCTACTCTAATCATAGTTTAAGAGTAAACAATTTTATTAAAAAAATGAAAAAGAATAAAATCAAGATGAAAAAAGATGATTCTAGTATTGACAAAGTACATAATAAAAAGATAAAGCAAGAAGAACATTATTTTATAGTTACATTTTTTTGATATTAAAATATGACCTAAATAGGTATACATGTTAAATTATACTTTCTCTGAGAATAAAAAAATTATACAATTTGAAATGAAATCACGAATTCAAACTAAACTTACATTTAAATAAGAATTGAATTGAATTATAAATCTAACACCAAACCTACATGTAAAAAAGAATTGAGTTGTACAAAAATCTACACTAAACCGAAAACCATCACTAAGTTGTGGGTAGAGGTGGCAATCGGATCAATCGGATCGGTTCCGGGTTGAACTTTTTCGGTTCGGATCGGTTAAATTTCGGTTCGGATTGGATTTCGGTTCTATACATTTTTCGGTTCGGTTCGGTTTCGAGTCGGTTCAGATACGGTTCGGTTATAAATCGGTTCGGATAGATTTTGATTCGGATACAATTTGAGTCGGATATATTTCGGTTTCGGGTCTAGTTCGGTTCGGATATATTTCGGTTTCGGATATATTCGATCGAGTGGACTACAAATTATGAAAAAATATATTTTATGATGATATAAATTTAATATCATAATATTAATTTTAAAATTTAGTTTTGATATATTAAAATTTTATCACTTCAAATAATATTATGAGTAATTTACCTAAATAGGGCTAAAACACAATGAGTTTCCCAATATAGGACCATATGTTTTTATTTCCTAATGTAGGACTTTTGGTCATTATTAATTAGTCATTATTCAAGTAAATGTCCATTATTAATTTATTACTGGGCATTATTCCTCCCACTAAGACATTATTAAGTTCTCTCTAAGGAATAAAAAAGTTTAATTCCTAGATTAAGAAAAAAAATTATGTTTCAGTATTATTTAGTGCAGATTTATTAATATCATTAGTTTTATCTTTATAAATAAAAAGATAAAAGATAAATTCAAATCGTATTAGGATTCTGTTACCACTTTTTTGGGGAAGATGAGTCGAAGCAACTAGTTTTTATCTCGTGCTTTGCACTGACTCGCATACTTTTTTTTATAAGTATAGCTATTTAAAAATGTTACTCCGTATTATATTAAAAAATAAAACTCACATTAAATAAATAAGAGAAATTTGGATATGATAACTTATTGTAGCCAGACTATTACTCCCTCCGTTCCTAAATAAACTTCTATTTTTGACTTTTTGAAAATTTAAAGGAGGAATATTTTTTGTGTTGACTTTAAAAAATACCCTTGATATGATGTGTAAATGCAAGATTCTCATCTCTATTTTATTACTGGTTTGCTTTATTTTATCGCATGTATGCTTAGATTTGGAAAAAGTAATTTTCATATGTTTTAAGTCATCTCTATTTTATTGCTCATTTGCTCTATTTTTTGTAATATTTCTAAAACATGTAATCCATTTTATGAGGGAATGAGCAAGTAATATAATTAGTTTAAATGGTAAAATAAAAGTAAAATTTTAAAAGCATAATATGCTTATTGAAAGGAAAACATACTTCCAAAATTATCGATGTAGGTTCTAATCGGTTTTGGATCTAATCGGTTTTGGGTTTTATCGGTTTCAGATATTATCGGTTTCGGATCTAATCGGTTTCGGGTTTAATCGGTTCGGATATTATCGGTTTCGGATTTAAATCTGATATGAATTATTTAGTTCGGTTTAGTTCGTTTCGGATCATTTCTGGTTTTTGATTATAGATCGGATCTTCATTTTTCGGGTCATTTCGGTTTCGGTTTCGGATATTTCGGTTCGGGTAATCGGTTCCGGTTCTGTTTTGCCAGCTCTAGTTGTAGGTAATGGGCAAGAATCTAGAAATAAAAATGAAATGCATCCAACCTGCAAGTAAGAAATGATGTTTGAATGCAACACAAATAGCTAATACTCCTTCCGTCCACCAGTTTTTGTCTACTTTTGACTTTTGGAACTGTTCATCTAAGCACTTTGACTCATCAAATTGTCTCAATGTGTAAGCCTATATATAGTCATGTGTGATCTTGTTTGATTTGTCTTAACATATACTCCCTCCGTCCCATGAAACATGTATTTCCAACTAGAAACACATCCCATGAAACATGTATTTCCAACTAGAAACACTCTTCCCATGAAACAGTTCACCTTTTGGATAAAAAAAGTGTATGGAGGTAATCTAATCATCAAATTGGACATGGCAAAAGCTTTTGATAAACTTGACTGGGAATACTTAGAGGCCCTACTTTTTTTTTTACTCCCAGTGGGTAAACCACCAAGCTTGGTGGGGTAAGGTCTAGGCAACCCTTACCGAGTTTTATTAAGATCTATTCGTCACCACAGAGTGAGGGGAGGATCAAACCAAGGCCTAACGCCAGCCCCTCATACTTAGAGGCCCAACTTTTGAGATTTGGATTCAACAGTCTATCAACTTCCCTCTTAATGGCCAACTTAAAAAGGACTTTCTTCAGTATACTCATCAATGGAGAGCCATCAGGATTTTTCAAAATGGAGAGGGGGTAAAACAAGGAGATCCACTCTCACCCCTTCTTTTCATCCTATCAGCAGAAGGTTTCAGTAGGCTCATCAATATGCAGATGGACACTAACCACCTACTCAGATTCAACTCAGGCCAGGTCCTATTTCCTTCCCACCTTATATATGCTGATGACATTATAATCTTTTCCAGGGGAGACAATAGAAATCTGCTCAAACTCAAGGTCACTCTAGATATATACCTCAAGGCTACTGGACAAGAGATCAACCTTAACAATAGCAGATTCTACACATCAAAGCACACAACCAGCTCCCAAAATCAACACATGGAGAATGCTCTAGGAATCAAAAGAGGGAACCTACCTTTTACCTATCTGGGAGCTCCTATCTGTAAAGGGATTCTGAGAAAAGAGCACTGCAAAGATATCTTGGGACATTTTGAAAAACTTATTCACTCCTGGTACAGCAAGACTCTCAACCAGATGGGTAGACTTATACTAATAAAACATGTTCTTTCTTCAATCCCATTACATATCCTTGCAGTCCACACCATTCCCAAATCAATCATCCACACCCTCAACAGATACATGGCCAACTTTTTGTGGGGACAAAAGGAAGGATCCCATAAACACCACTGGGTTAGATGGGCACAAATAACAAAACCTGAGGTAGAGGGAGGGTTGGGGATCAAAAGCTTAAAGGACCTACAACAAGCATACACCCTTAAACTTTGGTGGAAGGCAAGAAATGACATTGGGATATGGGGGCCCTATGTGAGAGCCAGGTATATGAAAACAGGAATCATGAAGGAAAGGATCACTGACTCTCCAACATGGAAAAGGATTTGCAGATGTAATGATCTGGCAACATCCCATACCACCACCACTAGTTCAGGCTTGCTTTGGGAAGGAGGAAACTTCAGCCTCAAGAGTGCTTTCAACATGGTCCAGGGAAGTGGGACAAACCTATTATCCTGTAAATACATTTGGCACAGCTCAAACATCCCAAAAATCAAGATCTTCTTGTGGAGACTCTTAAACAGTGCCCTTCCTTTCCCTAAAAACCTATGCCGTTTCACGGCAGCCCTTCCCAGTTCCTGTCCTCTTTGCCATAAAGATAACAATGACATTGATCACTCCATGCTCCACTGTCCAACTGCAAAAGAGGTATCGAAATGCAATTAACAACTGCAGAAAGAAAAGGAACTAACTGAATGGAATAGATCTTGAGAAAATTAGCGCCTGAAGTAAGCTAATCGGCGACTACCGTCGCAGTGAAGTCCAGGCGATCCGGTTAAATCCGGGCGGCCACTACACCCGAGTTCATAGATATCCGTAGAACGGAAAATGATCGGATAAGACTCATACAATGACTGGCAAAGCCGCAAAGGGGTAAGAGAGCATTTACTATGGGCACCCTCGCCCAGCCTCTTTCTTTTTTTGAGCCTGCTCAAAATACCTGCCCTGTTGTGAACTGAGTACTTTATTCATCATATGTTGGGGTATTTATACATACACAAGGAGGAGGTAAAGTCTAGGTAAACAAGGTAACCAGATATTCTAAATAATAAGAGTAATATATCTGCCATATTTAACACTCCCCCTCAGATATATCATCGTTCATTATACACTAACAACATTATGCTACGGGATAATGTTGGCTAGGTTCTTCAGGACCTATATTAACTGATACTGCAGGATCAGTTATGCTGCCTCATTAAAAACCTTACTAAGAAAACCCAGTGGGACAAAACTTAGTTAAGGGAAAAAGAGTACAGCGTGTATAATATTTTCCCACAAAATAAAATTATACTCCCCCTCAAACTAATTTATCCTTTTAGCCTGCGAAGTCCAATCTTCTTTATGAGTTGCTCAAAGCTGTGTCTAGGCAGAGATTTGGTGAATAAGTCCGCCAACTTTTGCTTGATTTAACTTGAAGAACATTGACCTCTCCTTCTTTTGCATATCAGATGTTGAGAAAACTTTGCAGAGATTTGCTTCGTTCTGTCTCCCTTGATGTAGCCTTCCTTGATTTGAGCTATGCATGTTGCGTTATCTTTATATATAATCGTAGCATTCTTCTTGATTTCTTTCAAATTATATGCTCCTTGTATGAGATTCATCAGCAATCTCTATCATGCTCGCTCTTGATCACTGTCGTATAATGCTATCAGTTCGGCTTGATCCCATGCTGTAGTTCGTGCTTGCTCAGTCGACTTCAAGAAAAAGTCGTATCACCATAGGTGAACACATTACTTGTCTAATTTCACACTTAAATTTGGTACTTCAGGACCAAGTACTTCTTCGCCTTCTTCTGGGAGGCGATTAGAATGTTATGTATATATATGAATGAACAACCATGGGTATGTTCAAAAGATGAGCTTTATCCATATTTCAACATGTTAACATCTTCTGGAGGTAGTTTAACTTATGGACAAATGTCCCATCATATAGGTGTTTAAAATACAATCGTAAGTATAATTTATGTCATGTCAAGATCTTCCATCTCAAATTCTCTCTTCAAGAGTTCAACAGTTTTTTTTCTATCTCTTCAGGAATCTAATGATATTTATACGTCGACGTAAACTGCTATAATAAAGAATATTGAGAGCGATCCTTGAATGACAACACATAGCTTGATTTCAAATTTGTATCTTTCTTTTTCGAGATATTCACTGGGTCAATTGTACCACATATGACCAGATTACTTAAGACCATTCCACGATCTCTTCACACATATCTCAATGTATTAATTTTATTGCGTCTGGCATTTTGAATCCTTCTGGGACTATTATCACACAGATGTCGATTTCAAGTGTCCCTTATAATTATGTTAACGACATCCATATCATTTATTTGAAGTCCTTTTGAGATTGCGGGGCCAATTAAAATTCTAAAAGGATATTGCATCCACTACTGGAGAATACATTTCCTCATAATCAACTCCTAGGATTTGGGAAAAACCCTTGCCTTACAAGTAGTACTACATATCGCACAATCTCATTCATTTTATTTCTGTTTATTACAGACACCCATTTATAACCTATTGGTTTGACGTCTATGGGTGTTCAAACTTCAGGTCCGAAAATATTTCATTTATCGAGTGACTTATATTTGACCTTCAGGGTCTTTTGCCATTTGGCAAATCATTTATGTACTATTTACATGTACTCTTATTTGAGTTTTAGGCATGTAATCTCTTTTATTGATTACATCCGTTGTCATAGCATATGCAAGAATATCATTAACACGTGTTTCATTTTGGTTCCATATTGTACAGTCTCATACATAATTAATAGAGATCTCATTTTCTTTCGGTACCGATGTTTCTTTAGGAAAATTATTCTTCTGGAATCATAGTAGTCTCTTCCAAGACATTTACCTCTTCTGGGGTTTCATTTTCTTCTGAATAGTATTAGTCTCTTCTGGGACAATGTCCTCTTCTGGGGTTGCAATTCTAATCATGTATGTGGTTTCACTAATAACATTTTTCTGCTATTTTCATTTTCGTGGGTCCTTATCCTTGGAACCGATAAGTCTCCCACTTTCATTGTACAATAGTCACTTTTGGGACTACCTTAAATCGAGCGATGCATAAGATGCTGGTACATGTAACTTTGTCACTCTGCTCGTATATGAGAATGCATCTGGTAATTCATTTGCTCTTCTTTGCAAATCAGACTTCAAAAATTACATTGACCACTTCAGGATTCAAAAATTTACAATGATGATGCATTCCATGTAATTTCTTATATTACCAGTCTTTCTTTATTCACCTCTCCCCCTAAGACTGGGAATACTTTATCTGTTTATCATAAAATTGACAATCAACATACTGTGATGTATATATATATCTCTTGTCAAAAAAACTCTTAACATTTAACGATTGACGAGGAGTTAAAACTAATGTCAATTACCCAATCTTCTCTATTATCTTGGATGCATTGTGGGGGAGGGGGCACATAGGACACACAATCAAATATTGTCAAAAGGGACAAATTTGGTTCTCTTCGGGAGACATAAAGAGTAAGAAACTCAAAATTTTGAAGATTTGACATTTTATTTATAGGGAAGGATTAATAAAAATGAACATGTGTATATAAAATACATGTGAAGGAGAACTTCACGTTCTCATATGTTGGAACTACAGGTTCCTTATAATAAGACCATTGTGTTTCTTTGAAATGGTTGAGAAAATGTCAAGAATTCACTTTTAACCGAAGCGTTTGCAATTGACACATAAGATTCATAAGGAGCACTTTATTTGTAATATCTTAGTACAATCTTCTTTGTTAAACTTCAGGTTCACATCTTTTATAGAAGATTATATATAATCTAGTGAGAATATAGAATTTATCATCCATTCAACTCCTTAAAAAAACCTTCCCTTAGTGTCTACCTACCATTATGGTACCTTGATAATTTATCTTAATTTAAGCCCATTAAGCATCTGCTCCAAATAATTACCACATAAATGAAGATTCAAAAACCAGTATAAAATGCTTTGTTCTCATAATCAAAAGCATAGCCATTAATTCGATGCACTTTGTATATTTACTAGAGCTGCAGGGCTCTTATGTGACTAATGATGTTCAACATAACCTATAAATTATGTCCATAAGACAAATACCATAAACTTCGGGATACGAGTTAATTGTCAACAAATATGACAAATATAACAATGCATCATATAAAACATTTAAATTGCCATCACGAATAGGTGATGGACGCAATCAATTCTCCTTGAACAATTTCTAAATATGTATGAAATGAATCTCAAGTTTCATTAGTAATAATCTCATAATAATCTTCTAATGAGAACAAGACGATAGGATCTTCTGGTCCTAATAATAACAGAAACTTTTAGTCCTTCAAATGGTACTCACTTGAGTTCTTAATGATTTTTTTCTTCACATCACAAACTAAATCGTGATAATTTAATTGGTTATGTTTAAAATAAAAATTGGTTGAGTAAACTTCTGGTTTACGTGAAAACAAATCTCGATCAAGTGTCATGTAATATTCATTTTCACTGGTATCTTAAACATTAATAGAGACACCCTAAACAATAAGGATTTGTCTATACCCAACAGAATATTCGTCAATGCGGGATAATAACTATTCTCTCAAAATATTCAATATTTATGAGACTTTTATTACTTCTATTATGCAGCTCTTATTATGCAATGCTCTTCTGGAGCTATCTATAAGTTTTGTATAACAAGAAAAATTATATTTACACTTTAAAGAGAAAAGAATCTCTTACATCTAAAAAAAAATAATATGTATAATCACTCTTTTGATTATAATAAATTTACTACATCATTCTTCAGGAATATTGATGAGGAATCATATATTGATTAGAACAAAGGTCTTGAAATATCAAAACGTGTCTGCATAATGAGATTTTTTTTTTTACTAAAAATAAGCCACTTCAAGTGGTAATTAAATATTATAAGACCTTAGGTAATGTCTCATATACTCATATATTGTGTTTGATGAACATGATGACTCTTATTTAATTTAGGAGATTATACATCTTAAAAATTTCTTTTCAGAATTCAATATTCTTCAGGAATATTTAGATTCAAATAGTCAATGTTTTAAAAAAAATGTAATTCTACGTGACCATAATAGTGACTTTGATATGTCCATATGTATAACCACAATAGTTGTGATAGCCTATTATATTCATGCAGGTCAATCAATTTTTCACTCACTTCAGGGAATGAATATGTAACATGTTTTTTTTTCAAAAAAATCTTTCCTAACAATGGAAAAAATGTAACCAAATATGGAGTATATGAATCTTTTTTTTTACACTACCACTTTAGAGGAAATTAGATTCTCAAATACTATTTTGTTATCTCAAATCACATATAACATGCAATTACATATATTGGTCACACAAGTTTTATTGCAACTTAGTATATCACAGTAAAATATAATGTCATTGCATAAGGAGAAAATGCTTTGAAAAAATCTTTAGGCCATTTTACTTCTGGAAAATGGTAAATGCATGATTACAAGAAATCTATTTTGTTATTCTCTTTGATAGATTATGAACTTTAGAACAAATGTCAAATTTGATTTACTTTGAAGACAAAATTTGACACTTCAATTGAAGTCCACTTTTATATGTCATATACTTCGTATTTCTCATATACGAAACAACAAAAACATTTATCACATTTAGGATCAAGTAATAAAATATGCATTTTTTTTCACAAATCTTTCATACCAAAGTACAAAAATGTAATGAAATATGTAGTGTATATATAGAATCTTTAACTTTCTATACTACCACATCAAAAGGGAAATTAAAAACCCAAACATTATTTTATAATCCCAAACTAAATATAATATGCAATTAGATATTGGTCACGTAAACTTATTGCAATATATTACCTTGGAGTATATCAGAGTGGAATATGATGACGTCTCAAAAAAAAATTAAGTAAAACAATTTAATTTAAA